TTTGGAGCAAATTTATATACTTTACTGTCAGTCTTTATCTGCAATCCAGATCTAATTCGCCTTGTCTCAAAAAAGACGGCCAGATTTATAGCGGAAGCGAAGCCTAGTGGGTTCTGTATGATCATTAGCAGGGTGAAAATCGTGTCGAGGACGTGGTCCCATCAGTACGACCCCCCTCAGATCGGGGTCTTGATACGACCCCTCTAACTTTGATTTGATGTGAATAAGCGAGTTCCATCAATGTACAGCAAAGCATTCAGTTGCAGCGCGGTTTATCCGTGGGTCAGATTTGCCGAAACCCCGCTCGAAACCGTCGAAATCTACACTCTCGATGAAAAGGTTCCATTCCCCATTTCATAACCTTTGGAGCAGTATGTGGTAGGGTTAGATAGAGCTGGATTTGCTACTACCGGGCAATATTGAAATTGATCTAAAATTTTACACTCGAAGAGATAGGGTCTCTCAAATTTTGTCGAGGGAGCGTCGAGGATGCTAAATTTTCATGCGAGTTTTTGCCACTTAAAAGGCAATATCTCTCTAATTTCGTAGGATCCTGAAAAAAGAAAAAAGTTGAGAAGCGGAAGGTTTGCGCTTTCTGATGGTCTGTTAAAGGCACCCCGTCAGGCTATGGACCAAACGATTCCCTTAATCGTCGCTGTACAGTGCTGACACTCCCGGAGAGGTTACCGCTGGCTCAGAATCCCGAACGGCGCCGTAATAAGGCTCCAGGGCACGTATTAAGCGCTTTCGCCGCCTGGCGGCGCTCCGACCGCCCACCTCCGGAAGTGGTGCGTGGCTGGCATAACGTGTGAAATCAGCTAGGTTGATTGCCGTATCAACCGATAGAACGACTGACATCTCCAGAAAACTTGTTTGTACGTGCCTCTTTCCCCAAGCCAGCCTCCTTCACTGCTAGTGGGAAAGAGGGTTTTGTTAACGGCCTTGTCGACGGTTTTTCTCAGTTTTTTCTCCACTGTCGTCCACTTCGCATCTCTATACTCAGTTTCAATCGCCATAATACCCCCTTATTGAGCCCGACTTTTGCCTTTAAGTGTCTCCTACCATTCTCTAATTAAAGGAATCCTTCGCGGAAAATTCTTGCATTCTTTCTTGACATGAATGTGTCAGTTGTGATCACTGGAAACAGCACACAAAGTTTCACGCATGAAGATTCGGTTTCCGAAGAGAAACAAACGTCAAAAACTACACTCTATGGACAATCGAAGGTAATTCGGGCGGAGCCAAAGGCGAGGCATGGAAAGAAGTTGGCCTTAGGCCGGCTACGTATCAGGCGACGCAATGACGGAATCCGGGTAAAGTGATCGATTTTGGAGAATAGAGGCAAACAATCGATAGAGTATGATGCAGTAGAAGTGTAAGATGTGAATGCAATAAAGCAGAAAGCCAGAAGGAAGCTAGTGAAGGCACCAAGAACCAAGTGGAAGCATCCCCGTTGCCAACTCTGTAAATCCAGAAATGAGAACCCACAACACCAACTCTGGGCCGCTTGCAGCACCAGCCACTCTATCGCACATTTTTAACTTTACCAGAAGAAAACATGACTCCATATACATGCTCATCTCACACATAATCTCTTACTAATAAATACATAACATCTCAATTTCAGTGATTTAATGCCCCAACAAAAGCATGATTTTTCCGCGAAGGATTCCTTTCAGGAGATATTTGGGTCGAGGATCTATCAAGGATGAATCTCGGCCACCTTAGAAGCCGCTCCCTTCTCCACCATTGTAAGTTAATTCATTGGCAACGCTCGAAATGTGTCTACACTGCGTTCAATAATGATACAGCCACCTAAAATTTGTTCGAAAACTTAAAGTTCATAGAGTTTCTGAAAAACTGTCCAGATAGAAAATGTGACAAATTTCATGGCGAGTTCAGATATCAACACAAAAATCCATGTCGAAAACACTAAAAAATTTTGTGCTTATTTTTTCAGAAGAGGTCGATTTTCCTATGTTCAAAAATGATACAGCCACCCCGTGTTTCTTCGTTGAAATTCATTTTTGCTTCATGAAACTGATTCGCAGTTATCAGGCTTTCACCTTAATGTTCCCACAAGACACAACAGACAAAAGAACTGGTCTTGCTCCAGTCGACGTGGCTACACTTTCGAGCAAAAAATGTCTCAGTTTTCGAGAGAATTTCTTTTCACAAACAAGGTTTCTTTGATTCTCCATTGAAGAATGACCTCGGAAAATCTTCAACACATCCCAAACAATATCCATTGAAAGTTTAATTCTGAAAGAAGACTGGAATTCCGGGCACTGTTCGATGAAATTGAAATGTTTCCCAAAATGCGAAGTTTAACTTGACCAAAAAGCAATGATGAACATCCAGAGCTCTTCGTTGTTCCATAACCTACAGGATTCCAGAAAAGATTGTTAACCGTATTGGAGCTTTGACTCAATTTTTGCGCAATATGACTGCTTGACGATTCCTGGTCCTTTTTTGCTACAGTTTACCTTTTTCCCAAACTGTCTTTTTTATCTTGTGGGAACATTAAGGTGAAAGCCTGATAACTGCGAATCAGTTTCATGAAGCAAAAATGAATTTCAACGAAGAAACACGGGGTGGCTGTATCATTTTTGAACATAGGAAAATCGACCTCTTCTGAAAAAATAAGCACAAAATTTTTTAGTGTTTTCGACATGGATTTTTGTGTTGATATCTGAACTCGCCATGAAATTTGTCACATTTTCTATCTGGACAGTTTTTCAGAAACTCTATGAACTTTAAGTTTTCGAACAAATTTTAGGTGGCTGTATCATTATTGAACGCAGTGTAGAATCAATTCTCCCAACCAGGGTCAAGCGAGGCGTCGAGGAAAATTTGGAAATACGACCCCCCCTCCCTCCGCCAGAGGCCGAAGTCCATGAAACGACCCTCTTCAAAAGCCGAACTATGAAAAGGTTGTTTAATTCTCCCCCAAAACTGTTCATAAAAAAGCCCTGCTACCCCACCGTCCACCAAAAATTCGTTTAAGAAGTACAAAAGTGAAAAAGTCAAAGAATGATCATTATTGATGAGTCCTACCAAACGAGCAAACGAGAAACGGAGCAAAAAACGACAAACTAGTCACTAAAAATGGCATACTATGACAACATCTCTTCTTTATTTATTTCCTTCACAAGACTTACCAAATTCTAGTACTACACAGATTATGGTTCTCAATTTACACGTCCCCCTTTCAGTTGAAAGAAGCCTTGTAACCGCCTTCGCCAGCTGTGTGTTGACTGATCTTTGGCGTTGACCGTGGAGCAGCTTATCTACTATTGAAATTTGAACAAATATTCAAATGATTATAACTTTCTTCAAATATGACGAATTTTCAATCTGAAAGCAGATTTGGGAGTTTTGTGAAGAGCTCTTTCTAATCAGTATTGAAATTACAAAAATTTATAAGAAATAACAAATTTAGATCAATTAACGAGGAAAATTCATGATGAGCACGAGTTTTTACACTTTCCGAAGCCATAACTTGCTTCATTTTCATCAAATCTGAAAAGTTAATATGTCATACAAAACTAGAAGATTTTCTCTATCAAACGGTTGCTAAAGCAGCTTAATACGTCCAGTATTTAAAAAATGGCCACGTTGAGGATTTTTGCCCGAGTACCGCCGAAAGGTACTTTTTCGCTGCATTGGCACTATTTCAACGACTATAGCTCCTTTCAGGGGCGATTATATACTAAAGTAGGAGCAGATTCGGAATCCTCGTGCTTTTCTCTTTCCAAAAAGTGTAAAATTGTTTAGCGTGTCTCAACTTTAAGGTTACATGCTTGTGAATTTGACGCTGAAGGCTGCGTTTCTTGTTGAATAGTGTACTCCTCCTGTAATTTCACATGAACCCTTTCAGAATCCTCTTGATTTTTCCTGAATTGAGATTCTTTCTCCAGAGAGCCGTAGTTGAAGCGCGCGCAACCAACTGGGCCCACTCTGGGATGCGCCGTGTGCTTCACATCCCTTCAGATTCGAGGACTCACTTGAAAGATAAAATATCCCTTGGAAAACGTGCGAATTTCGGATTCTTTGACTTGTGTGTGATAAAACACTGAAGTAACTAAGAATTCACTACGCGGACACCTCTGAATCACGAAAATTTTATGTGGGCGGAACAGCATTGTTATTGGAATCCTCTGGCCTTCCATGGCATCGACTCGATCCTTGATGTTTGTCCTCCGACAGTGGTGCATCAATCCGGCCCGATCTCTTCCTCCCAGCGGGCCAATACGACCCCCCCCCCCTGCGACGTGTCGAGGATTCCTCAACGCACGCTTGACCCTGCTCCCAACGTAAGCGACAAGGAAAGGGCAATCGTCATCTTCCGATCTCGTCTCAGTATAGGCCATGCATCCGACCTCCACTCGAAGTTGCAGAATCGATTGAAAGGTGTTATACATATGATGATGACCTGTTGACAGAAACTGCATTGTAGTAAACACATTTCGTAACTCCTGTAACCTAAGGAACAGCTTCATTTGCCCAGGGCTTTCCTTCACTATTGTCGTTTTTGCGACAGCGTCCCTAACAACAGTGTCATTCTCAACGAGGTATTAAGGGCGAGGAGCGGGCGGTAGATAGAGGAAATGCCTTCGCAGCGCGTGTGCACATGTGACCCTGTTCCTTGCAAAGATGCACTTTCATTCTTTGTAGTACTTTCAAATACTTCCTTCTCGAAGGTAGAGGACGGAGCGACTGAACCTGCAAAGAATATTTATCTCATGTTTCCTCACATATCCCAGTTCTGCTGCGCTCCCTCCTACCTGCACCCACCACGATGCCCCTGACTTTACCCACCCTCAGTACAACCCCCATGACGCACCCGGAAAAACACGACCCCCCTGTCGAGGATTTCCTAGACCGATATTCACCGTGATCCTTTGGTCGGTCCCCGCTAATTAACATGTGTACCACCTTTGATTCGAGCAGAACACGGCAGAATTGAGAATGTTATTTGGGATTTGAGGAAAACCTACGGAAACTGCACGTGGGTCCAATAATAGCGTCCACATTCTGTTCAAGAATCAGCTCAATAGTGGTACCAGCCGCCAGTCGTTCGTTGCATTGATCGAATCGCACAGTAAAGCTGAAACTGTATCTTGGATTTATCATATAATTTCTTTTACAACAGTTAAAGGCATGCCCCAGGATCACATTGGTGTGGCTCTTGCACACGAATGTGAATGTATTGGTGCGAAAGTGGGCCGGCAGTAAAGAAAAAAGGAAAAGAATCCGTCGAAAACGCTTAGGTTAAGGGCTCACTCACCTTCCTAATCGGCTGTGCTAAGGGAATGAGAGACTAAGCGCGGAGAGGAGAGTATGAGGCGAGAGAGCGCTACAGATGAGAGAGCGCCAGACAACAGCCTGATAAGAGAAAAAATCTGCAGCTTCAGCAGCTTACTTTGCAAGGCCCAAGCGCTCTTGTCGGTTGGTTTCCGTGCACGGAACGCCACATTTGTGATTGTCCTCTAGGGTTCTATACTACAGACCGAAGAGAAGCGTTCACACGACCTCTGCCTGGGTTGTGCCTTTAAACACCCATTGTAGAAGAGATGCACGGACATGGTTACCACATGTACTGCAACGAGTTCTAATCAGAATATTGTCGTAAACTCAAAATTTGCAAC